CTTCTTCTTCTTCTTCTTCTTCTTCTTCTTCTTCTTCTTATTCCTCGTCCTCTTACTCCTCCTCTTCGTCCTGTATATCTTAATGCAGTGTCTCCCTAAGAAGTTCTTGTTATGTGCGTTTCAGATGAGTGCGTTGGGTACTGCCAACCCCAGGGAAGAAGAGATCGGCCTGAAACGCGGTGAGGTGCAAATGCTGAAGTCGTGCTGTGACATGAAGCGATTGAAGTTGAGCGAGGCCATTAGTGACATCAAGAATTACTGTTTCGAACACGCGGATGCTGATCAACTGATTCACGCACCAAAGGACGACCCCTTCAAAAATAAGCGAAAGTGCTCAATCATATAACTGGCTTATATTCCCTAATGTCTTCTCACTTTTTGTCCGAAACCCTTGTGATTCTGTTTTATCCCATCTCTAAATGCTTCTTTCCTGTGACATCTCCTGATATTTTTTGCCTTTGCATCCTGCGTGGGATGCTGTTTCCGCGACGGCCCTTCTGAAACACTTCTTTTACCCACGCTTTTCTTACGCGCACTGTCTCCATTTTGGTTAATTCTGCATTGTCGCACACTCATCTCTTCTACCCCAACAAGGACCGCTTATTACCGAAAAGGAAAAAAAGCAGTTTCGGTGCGGAAATGGGGTTTCGGAGTAAGTGCTACTCAGTCATAGGGACACTTCACTCCGTTGAGTTTAGTTCCTTTATTCGTTCATAGTCTCGCGCTCGTTTAACAAAGCTTAAAGGCAGCGATTCGCTGGAAGCTTTCAAGCTGACAGGGGCGAAGAACCCATTAATTATGAAGGACTATCAGACAGCGATTCGCTGGAAGCTTTCAAGCTGACAGGGATGAAGAAGCCATTAATCATGAAGAACTATCAGATTCCTATGCTGTGCTTGAGTATGTCTCGCACTTGCATCTCTAACGCCCCTAATGGCTACTGCTACTGTTATTTTAAGTTGTCCTGGAGTTTTCAGCGTCATGAACCAGTGTGGCTAGTGCCTTGCCAGGCTTACAGCAATCATTATCTCTTTGACCTTCGGCTCTCGAGTACTGGAGGTCATTGGCCTTAGCAATCTGGTTTCTAGGGCCGACCTACTTACACCTGTCCACTTCGTCTGTTGGTCAACAAAGAGATTACGTTACTACTTAACGCTCATCGTGGTAGAGGGAGCACATTAGGGCTTCATCTGAAGAGCAGCGTTTAACCGAAAGTTTAGCGTCCAGGGGTCGACAGCTCTCAAACATGCCTTAATTTTTCTCTGATTAGCAACGCCACTCTGATCTACTGCCGTTTATCCACACTATATATTATCGAAAACGGGCGTTCCTGCGTAACTTTCAATGACCGCCGGTATTTCGAGACCGGAAGCTGTGCTATTTTATATCGGATAGCTTTGCTCTAACTCCAGATCTAATTTTCCTAGTTGATGTAAAGGTGCATAATTTGTCAGTTGAAAATTCGTGTTACAGCACTTGTACGTGGCCACTTAGGTCTGTGGTTGTCATTTTAATTTTGACGGTTCCAGAGCAGCACCGACAAGACTCAGTTAGCATACCACTCGAGGATTTGTCCGCCCCCAAGACTGTCTGTTCCGTATAGCCAAGAAGGAAACACACTCAATTGGTTCTATTCCTGTCCTTTAATGGCATGAATACCAATTTTATTATCCTGTCACCGAACAAACATGAAGTATTTGTAAACGCGAAGCTGGTGACATTGAAATTTTTTTCGGAACTCAATTCGTAAAATTTTGATCCATTGTTCTGCTCATTGTTCTACTTTAATTAATCCTATCATAGCCTGATGTCCAGCAATCGACAAACTGAGGGCGTTTTGGAATCCATCCGACTTTGTTCACCGAAAAAAACCCAGTTTCGTTTGCATTTCTGTGTACGTATGGCTTTGTGGATGAAAATGGATTGACTGGGTTGCCCATTAGCCCGAGGAAAACGGCCCAACTGTTGGCTGAAAGCGGCCTTCAGCAGGGGTTGACTACGAAATAATCAGGCTCTCGGGTACGACGAATAGGAATCGCTAACCCACAGCAACAATGCTACTAGATAGTGAAGGGCTGAGGCCTGGCGCGTCGACAACCCTACGAACGACCATAAAGCCTGATGACGGCATTGTGACATGACGTCGGTGATCCACGACTAAATGAATTTGCTTGCAATCATTGCCTCGTGTTCAAGTTCTTGAGCCAAGCGCTAGAAGTGAAACTCTCAAATAAGACAATCCGAGGACTGTTGGGGGCTCATCTTTACACGAAATGCCGAAGAAACTTAACTAAATGTTCGACTTAGGTATCTTGATCCATGCTGCGACACCTACTCTTCGTCAAATGGTGAGGACGGACTACTTAACCGGGGAGCGGACTCTTGGTATTGAGGATTAGAATGCACGAACATTCAAGGGCCCTGACACCCAAAGTCTGACACCGCACAATCTTCATCAGTACGACGTTGCTGCCTGTTGCCTGTCTGCAGTTCGAATTCTCGGCTCAGATCCTCGAATAATAAATATGTCGGCAGTACACTCTGTACCACGCTACTCTTCTGGCAGACGTGGTGTGGCGATCGCCCCCTCACAACAAGCAGACTGCACATTATTTTCACGCGAACCATTCATCAACCAGATAGCTTACGTGCGGCTGAAGCGGCACTTCACGAACATCTCTGTCGTCTGTGTATGCACCAACATCAGCTATCGCATGGCGCGATAAAAAAATACGCTAGCAACTGAGACCCTTCGCCGTGATTTGGTACTTGTTGCCGGTGCCTTGCATAACCCTACCGGACTCGGTCACTCTTCAGATGGTCGCCTTATTGCCAGTCTTGGGCTTGGCCCTAGGTGCGAAAATTGTGGATATGCTGGAATTTGCTGATCAGAACTGGCTGTTACTGACAACTCAGTCAGGGTCGAGCGTTAGCGTATGCACTTCGAGCACCTTCTCAGTTTCGGTGAGCAACCCATTAGGCCCTAGCTCTTCTCTACGGCAGGGTTTTATAACTCTAACTTATGTAGTTTCATACGACTATCTTGTGAGTAAGAAGTTGTCGGCACCACAAAAAGGTTACGCAAGAATAAGGTGCACAGAGAGGCCGATATATCTACTGAAATATACAAGTCTTATGCCCTGCCTACATGGGGTGACTGAACTGGCATGGATATATGAGTTCGTTCCTAATGAATGGGGTTCGGGCATCCTTGTAGGGAGATATGGAAGGTGATATCGCCTCGTTAACTTAAATCTTTGGTTATGTGCTTGAAAGGCTCTCTCACCCTGATCTACTGATCGTTGCCTGGGACTGGAATGACCGTACTGTACCCGGCCACTCTCAAAACAGTCGCGTTATTGACCTTTTGCGTTTCGTTTTAGATGCGACAGTGTTTGGATAATGAAGAAGTTTGCTGATCGGGAACTGACAATTTGTCATAAAAATGTACTTTCCGACCGCCCCAAACAGCTTATATCTGGCATTTAAATGACCGCCAGTCAGATGGACTAAATTGCATTGGGTCCAAAGTTCTGCAGCTGGGTTCACGATGGCAGATCGGTACATGGTGCCGAAACTGGTATTGTTCAATGGTCGGACCATATTCATATTCGCTCACGTCTGAAAGTTCATCTATCGTCAAAATGCAACATGCAACGAGCCTCTGTCTCGTGAAACATCGGTAACCCAGTCCTGTTTTACGACCCCAAGTCGACGAAGAAGGCGGTAATCCGTGGTCACCATTCAAGTTTCTAGTCAATGAAGCAACTGAGAAAATGGATGGACACACCAATATACGCTGCAGTGACTGTATTAGCGGAAGAACCTTGTAGTTGTCTAGTCATACGCCTCGAGCCAGGTCCCGCAAGGATTATTCCTTTCCCAATACAAGCGAACATCCGTGTCCCAGGAAGCAATTGAGAAGAAGAA